GCTCCGGGCGCCCGCAACCTCGCTGAGAGCCGCCGCGGCCCCGGACCCGCGCGGGGGCCCCCAGCCGCCAGGATGAGCCGCGCCGAGGTGAGCTCCCATCCCCTCCGCCCCCGGGAGGGGACCCGCCGGCCACCAGGTCCCCTTCCCGGGGACTGCCGCCTTCCCTTGAGAAGTTCTGGGAGCCGGGAAGCGGGATGCTGAGAGCGAGCCGCCCCTCGAGGGCTAACCGCTGGGCTCTCCTCTCGGCCGCGGGAGGCCACCTGGACAGGGATAGGATACGGGGAGCCCCCGCAGCCGAACTTTCTTCGTTGCGGTCGTTGGGGGGCGTGTGGCCGCGACGCAGTCTCGGCGGAGCCGCCCTGCCCCCTGGGAAGCAGTGCCGCGGGCTCGGGCAGCCTGCGCTCGGCGTGCGCCCGGGGCCGTGCCGCCCTCGGCCTGAGACTCGCAGGCGCTGGGCCGGACCGACCCGTCCGTAGGCGGCGGCAGCAGGGGCAGGATGCCTAAAGCACACACGCGCGTACACACACACGCACGCACACATCTGATCGCTCAGGCGAAGCAGGCCTTCCGAGACCTCCCGGGTGGGCTGGAGCGGCGCGGGCGGCGCGGGGGACCTGGAGCTCCGGCTGCGCCTCCGCCCGCTGGGCGCGGAGCTTTGGGTGGGGAGAGTTTATTTTTGTCTCGAGCTGCTGCCGCGGCTGCTTACGGCCTAAATCCAGAGGGGCGCCTGGCGGCGGAGATGCTGGCTGTTACTGTAGATGGAGCTGCAGCCGCTCGGCTGCTTCTCGGGGAGGAGGAGGACGAGGACGAGGACGAGGAGGAGGAAGGAACTGGGGCTGCCGCTGCCGCTGCCTCCGCCTCTGCTTTGCATTAGCCCCCACCCCCACCCCCGCGCCCCTCGCAGCCGCAGCGCAAGTTTTCTGCGGGAGGAAGATCTGTTGCCGGTGCTGGCGTTCTCGGCACAGCCCCCGAGGCCACGCCGGGTGGGGTGTGTGGGGAGCACCGGCCGTTCGCGGCGGCAGCAACAGGAAGCCGCGGGGGCTCCTCCCGCACCTGGCAAGCAGACTCCTTGCCATTCCCAGAACAGGAATAGCTCATCTCCTGCATCCAGGTGTGGAGGGGGCGGCCGGAACTGGGGGGACCAGCCCCCGCGGGCGCCCCCCGCCCCTGCGGTGCACCCGTCCCCGGGCGCGCTCCCTCGTAGCCGAGGTCTGACTGCAGCCTCTCTCTCCTTCCAGTGGTGATCGCCCCCGGGAGTGCGGGAGTGAAGGGTCCGCGCCGCCGCCACGGGAAGACCCGGGACGCCGGAAGTCACCATCCCGAAGCCGAGAAGGGGAAAGAGCATTCTCGATTCAGTTTGTGTGCCTTGTGGGGATTTTTTTAAGTCGTTATTTTTAAAAAAAAAGAAACATTTCCGTGCTACTGTCTGTCATCGTCTTCGGGGAATCCGCCAGAACCGCGGGAACGTGACTGAGCGGACGGCAGGGGCAGGAGCCCGGGCCGAGCCTGCAGCGCCCAGCGGCCCGGGACGGGACGCGCGGCCGCGGGCTGCGGCGCCGCCGAACTTCGGGGCGGGCGGGGGGCCGGCGCCGGGGGCTCTGCAGAGCGGGGGCCGCCCCCGCACCATGATGTTCCGCGACCAGGTCGGGGTGCTGGCGGGCTGGTTCAAGGGCTGGAACGAGTGCGAGCAGACCGTGGCGCTGCTGTCGCTGCTCAAGCGCGTGAGCCAGACGCAGGCCCGCTTCCTGCAGCTCTGCCTGGAGCACTCGCTGGCCGACTGCGCCGAGCTGCACGTCCTCGAGGGCGAGGCCAACAGCCCCGGTAAGTCCCGCCTGTTCCCGCCCCGCCCGCCTCCGCGGGCCGTAGGGGTTTGCCCACTGTCCCCTCCTTCGGTCCATTCCGTGTGGTAACTACGGTAGCCTGAATGATTGATTTTTCTCTCAGGCAGTTTCCTGGGAAATAAGTCAGTCAGGTCACGTAGAGTCTGGATTTTTCTGGGCTTTTTTTTTTTCTTCTTCATTTGGGCAACGTGGCTCTCTGAGTTTCAGCTACACGTGAAGCCCGGGAGTGCCCTCAGAAGCCAAGCTTTGATTAGGCTGTATGAAGAATACATGAAAATCCAATCTTAGTGTTCGTTTTTCCCCACGGATAATCCGGTTTAGAGCTCCGTCTTCAGGATAATATGTAGGAGACGCTACAGACTACTGAAGTGAAATTTGCAGTGCGTGTACTACGTGGTTAGGCTTGGTTAGTCTATCACGACGTGTTTCGTGTTAATATGGATCTTGTGGAAAGGGTGTCCTAGAGAGCAGGTGTGAATCGGGGTCCTGAATGCTTTTTGTTAGCAAACTTCACGGAATATAGCAGAGTTGTTTCATATTACCCTGCTAGCATTTACAGACACCTCAACTGGTACAGAAAGTGAATATACTCGAAAGGTTCAGCAGTTTGCTGTTTGCTAGCATGGGTGGTGACAGACTGAAATAATATGCTGGGGTTGCGGGGGGTGGGGTGAGGATGGGGGTGGGGGAGAGGTCTGTTGGCTGTAATTTTGCATAGGGGAAATTCTTTAGTTCATGCTGCAGCAGGAGGGTGAACAGAGCCCCAGTGTTTATGCAGAGAAAAGAATGCAGGGTCCTCTCCAGCTGTTTCACGTTAGAGCCGCCAGCCTGCAAGACTCAGCAGAGGTCTGGGCTGCTATTTGATGACAAGGGCTGGTCCGGGGCAGCGGGGCCTGGGAGACACTCAAGTGAGTGTGCCGTCAGGGCAGGAGAGGAGAGCTGGCCTCCTCCTCACTCCTCCTCCCTGGAGTGGTGCTCGTGGTGCTGAAAGCACTAGCATGGGATGTTTCCATATATAGACTCATAGGCTGGAAGTGACCGCTGGAAATCCTCGCAGTCCTTTTCCTGAGCAGACAGGACTGCACCCAGAGGATACTGTGCTGCCAAGTATGGAAGGCCATGCTAAGAGAATCCCACAGGTCCCACTGGGACTCATTGGAGCCTAACAGCTCACTTCCTGACTCACAAGGTGGCATTGGCAGGGCCCTCTTCCTTCGTTTCTACCTTTACAAAAAGCTGAAGGGCCAGCCTCCCTCCTAAGGGTGTGGAAGCACCCTTATGGTCCCTTCTCTCGCTTCGGTCCTCAGTGTGACAGCGTAGCCTGGCTCACGTGCTTCATTGTGCTTTCTCAGGGTTGACCAACAAGGTTATATAAACTTTTGCATTTTATAGAATGCAAAGGATTTAAGTGCAGTAATTTATGTTGAATGCTTGTCTTCAGTGCTTGTAGGGACTGTTTAACATAATGATAACTAATCTTTAGGTTGCTCAAATGTTAGAGCAATATTTTTTCCCTATGAGTAAATGAGAAGACTTCCCAATATGGCAGCAGTTTAGTAAGCGAAGCAATTACACGTATGGTATTAAAAAGAAGTTTCTTACTTTAAAAATCTTGTAATTTAATAAACCAAGAAAAAATTGAATTTCTGTTTTTAAAAGTCATCTGGTAATTCTTCTCTAAAAAAATTTTTTATTTGTGTGAGATACATACCTGTTCATGCTGCTAAATGCTATAGATGTACGAAATCCAGAACCATTAGGTAAGATAGGGACCATTTTAATCTTTCAACCTGGACATTTTGCTTCCTTGGAAACCTTTGCACTTGTTTTGTTGTGTGGCCAGGACAGAAATTCATTAGTGTGGTCGTGTGATGGTTTGGTTTACTTCTGCAGTGTGGGGGTCCTAGAGAGCATCGAGGTTGTCGTAGCATACGAGAGTCTGGAGTGCAGCTCTCTTGTGTATCTGCAGCCTCAGCCCAGAACTAGAAAAGGGGAAAAATGCCCACTCAGTAACCTGAATAGATGGCATCAAGTCCAGGAGAATACTTCAGACTCTCTCGGAACATACTTACTCTTATTTTAGACAACAATCCTAACATTTTTTTTTAGTCTGAAAAAATAATCCGTAGCATATTAGAAGGAGCACATTTAGAATGGGGTGAGGGGTTGCTGTAACCAGCAGTGAAAGTGACCACTGACGGCTTGACCACCAGGAAAGAGACAGTAAAATTATGACTTTAGATATAAGAATTGGGAGCAAAAGCCCTGAAGGTCTGTGAATGTTAGGGTAAGAACTCTTAGTTGACTCAGCAGGGATTACTCTATAATAACATAAATCAATAACTGCTGTTTACCATTAATGAGAGTGAACTACCAAAAAGTATACATTTTTAAATACACTCTATGAGAAGAGAGGGAAATACGCTGTAAACTTTGGAAATATTGACACTCAGGACAATTAACCACCAAAGCTGTTTTGGTGTGTAAAGCTCCTGCCCATTCAGAAAACCAGGCTGTGTAGAATGATGCATTTGTTGGCTGGCTGAGGTTGGATACACTCAAATCAGCATTCTTTTGTAATCATCAATTAAACACACACATATTTCTTCTGCTGTTGAGAGATTTTAAAACTTGGTAAATGGGAACCAAATTCATATCTGGGGCTTGATCTCAGTATAATAAAAAATATAATTAGTAACAGTATGAACTTGGCTCTGTTTTCTCCAGGACTGACTTTAAATGGAGAGAGAATTCTTCACATTAAACATGGTTTATTTCAGATCCATGGGATGTATTTTGATATTCTTTCTCTTCATTCTCTTAAATTTAGCATTTATCGAGAATCTGGTGGTTCACCCTTTGCCCCAGGTTTGTGGTCATCTGAGACCCAGAGGAAATGGCTGAGTCGGTCCCTGTGGATTTATCGTGTGTGTTTCGCTCCAGGTGTGGTCAGTGGGTTTTGGTGGTGATCAGCTCTCTAAGTGGAGGCTCGTCTCTAGATCCCCTCATGACCTGAGATAAGTGCCCTTCAGCCACCAGCCCCAGTTGACATTGGGATGTCTGGCCAATCTCAGTTTGTAGATGACTGTTTCTAGGGCTAACAGGTCATTTGATACCTAAAAATGGCAAAAATGGAACCCACTCACTTTACCTGCGATTCCCCAAAGAAAAATAGGTTGTGTGGCATTGTTTATTTATGACTTTTATCATTTGGACTTGAAATATATTTTCTAATGGAAACAGTATAATAAATGGAGATTCGCAAGTGAATCCACAAAGACTTATTAACTCACAAAACAGTGTGTATTTTGTGGGGAAATTGAATATGTTTGTAGTAAATAAATGGCAAAAAGATTGTTGCTTATAATTAAATACAAGATAAAGGATTATCTGAAATGGTGGTGCTTGACACAAAACTAATCATGGAAATTGAAAAAGACTTGTGGGTGTTATTTACTCTCATTGGAGGGTAAAGATGTTGGTTCTATGATTTTTATGGGTTTTAGGTTTCCATAGTGTAGGTATGCCATACCCTGAGTTGCTTTTTTAGATCACAAATGGCGTAAAAAGAAAGCAGGATAGATGTTTTCCTGATGATACTGGATAAGATCTTGTTTGTAGTTCTTTCTTTCGCTTATTCATTCATCATACATTTTCTGACTGCCTGCTGTTTTCCTGGCCCTGTGTTATGCATTGGGAATACAAAGGTAACTTATTATGTTCCAGTCTCTGGTACATAGATACTCAGTGTTGAGTAAATGACTAATAACAGTATCATAGGTGCTGAAGCATAGATATGAGAAGAAAAAGGGGGGACGGGGAACGGGTTCCAGGAGCACTGTGAACCTAGCAGCTAATTGCCTGAGGGAGTCAGGGAGGACTTGAATGAAGAGGAGATATGTTTGAGTTGAGTTTTGAGGGATGAGTAGGAATTGGTTCAATATGTAAAAAGGATTGTAGAGAGCAGGCACGAAGACATTTTCCAAGCAGAGAGGGTAGCATAAGTTAAAACAGAAGCAATGGGTGTGGAGGACTTTGCCAGCTAAGGTATTTGGACTTAATCCTGCAGAGGTGATAGAAAACCCAAGAAAACGTTTAGGAAAGGAGTTAAAAGATGAAAGGTGTGGGGCCGGCCCAGTGGCGTGGTGGTTATCTTCGGCACGCTCTTCTTCGGCAGCCTGGGTTTGCCGGTTTGGATCCAGATCCCGGGCATGGACCTGCGCCCCTCATCAAGCCATGCTATGGCGGCATCCCACATACAAAATAGAGGAAGATGGCACAGATGTTAGCTCCCCACCAAAAAGAAGGAAAAAGAAAAAAAAAAGATGAAAGGTGTGTGTGTTTGTACACTTTGGGGAAGGAGCTTTCCAGTATATGCATGCTCCTCTGAGAGGCAAAAATGGGAGAAGTAAGGCCAAGTTTGGTTCAGACAGTTTCCATTTTGGCCACCTGGTGGCATCATCAGCTCAGGGCAGCTTTGTTGCTGTCAGCATTGCTATATGGGGGAGAAGAAAGGATTGAGAGAGAGAGGAAAAGAAGGTATTGTCCAGATGGCCATTTATTTATGTCCATGGGAAGGTGTATGTTGTGGAGGATTTTTAGAGTATAGATTTTGAAATCAGTCAGACTGGGCCAGTCAGTTAATTTCTGAGCCTCAGTTTTCTCATCTGTAAAATGGAGCTAATAAAACTGTTATTGTCCAGAAGTTACTTGTTAATAATCCAGTGAGGACCTATTCTATCTCCCAGCTTTGAATTTGCCTCTAATTAATATGGAATTCATATAAACAATCTTTTCCTGAATGATAGGAAATCTTTTTGTTTAAAGGATTATCAAGAAGACATTGGAGATAACTTGGAACCCTGAAAAGATCTGCGTCTACTTTGCTCCACCTTCTACATTTTAGCCTTGTTGTTCTACTGTCTATCATGTTGGGTCCTCAAAAAATGCGGCCCTAACCCAGTTTTTCCAAATAACTTGTCAACACTTTTTTTTCCTTTATTTGGTGCATGTGAAAAGAAGAAATCATTTTGTTGAATGAAATATCCAGGGACTTTATATCTGAAACACATTTCACTTAGGTGTTGTCATTTTCTTTGGGTTGGTCTGGAATGATGGGTAGCAGGGTCATACACACTCACACACTGTGTTATGAATAAGGTGGATTTGGTTGTTTAGCTCAGGTGCTCAAGGGCTTCAGCAACTGAGTATGTGTTGTAAGCAGGTCCCATCAAAGCAAGTGAAAGGCAGACGAACTGAATAGCAGTCAAATTGGTTTATGTTTAGACCAACCAACGAGGGTGAAATGAGGGTTGGAAGGGCTGAGAAGTAACTGAAAACTCCCTAGTATATCCTGCAGAAGTGTAATTCTGAAGAGAATTGACAACACCGTAGAAGAGAAAATATCACTCCTCATTGACCCGAGGAGAAGTTTCGAGGTTTTCCTGCTTAAGGGCCTGTGTAAATCATTTGCTGGGGAAGGGGTGGTGCTCATATAAATCTTTTTTTCTTTTTAAAATGTAATTACTACTTTGAGTTTTTAGCCTCTTACTTCATTTCCCGTCCTCCTCATCATTCTTTCCGAGGCCTTGCTGAGTTCATCTACGTTACATAGATTAAGATGCAGAATCAGATGTCTTCTCTGAGCTGCTTTGTGCTTCCGCCTGAGGAAGCCGCCTGAGGCAGGAATCGCCCAAAGAAAGCAGAACTTTCAGAACAGGAGCCAAGCTTTCTCTCTCAGTTAGCTAATCAAGGCCTGGCCTCTGAAGCCTGTACCCAAGAGCTAGCTTGGAGTTCAGAGGAACTAGCCTGCTTTTATGTAGGAGGACGTCACTCCTTGGGACTCATAAGCTGGTTCTAGGGTTTTGTTCCCATTCTGTATCAACATTTTAGTATGATTTTCTTTTCTTGGTTTACTAGGTAAAAAAATCAATCACATGATTCAGTGGTTTCTTTCACACAATGAATAATACCATTACATGGTCCCTGGCAAAGAGTATCCAGTTAGAAACTGTGGGACTAAGTTCCTTAGTACCTATTAATTTACCAAGTACTGCAGCAGAGAGCTGCGTGCTGTGTCAACAGGTGAAGTAGGTGTAATGATTCCTCTCAAGGAGCTTGCACTCGAGTTATGGAGGTAAAACAGACATCTGTATCTATCATCTATCTATCTATCGATCTATCTATCTATGTACAGCCATGTGTCACTTAAGGATGGGGATATGTTCTGAGAAGTGTGTCCTTAGGTGATTTTGTCATTGTGTGAACATCATAGAGTGCACTTACACAAACCTAGATGGTATAGCCCACTACACACCTGGGCTCTATGGTACTAATCTTATGGGACCACCGTCATATACTCAGTCTGTCATTGACCAAAACGTTGTTACTCGGCGCATGACTGTATAATAATTAGACCATAAACAGTTGCTAAATGCTATGGTTCTGATGAGGGAACAATACTGGATTTGAGTGAAGGGGGAGAACAGGATGGGTTGGGAAGTCTAGGAGATAAGAATGGAAGAAGTGAGCTTGTGTGGGTCATTTGAAACCTGTCCTCTAGGGCTCATGAGGTTCTTGCCTTTTTAGTACCTTTAGTGTGAGTTTCATGAAGGAATCCACACATATGGGAGACTCTGCATGGGCCATGTAAGGGGCAGGCCTCCTGGGCCTTTGAAGGTTGAGTATGAGGACATTAGACAGAGGCGAGCATAATGCATGTCGTCCATCAGGAATGATGTCTTGAATGGAAGAAGGAGCAATCCAAACACTTCTGATTTCTAGCATACTTAAAGATAGGAGACAAAACATCTGCTCACCCAATATTTTCATCCCTAGAATGATCCATAAAGTGATGAGACTTAGTAATCATTCTCTTGGCTCTTCCCAGTAGAAGACTTCTGTGTATTACTTTGATTAGAACTAGTGTTAAGAAGAAACATCTTAAACACTTATAGGGAAAGATGAAAGTGTCTTAGACCAGTTTTCAAAATTTAATGTGCATGTAAATCACTTGGGGATCTTGTTAAACTGAAAATTCTTATTGAGGGGTCTGGAGGGGTCGGAGCTTCTGCGTTTCTGATAAACCCCCAGCTGCTGCTGCTGCAGGACTTGGACCACACTTGGAGTAGCAAGATCACCAACTGTTGGAGGTGGAAGGTGGTTTAGAGGTAATTGGGGCATTGGCTTTCAAGTTTTGTGGATGTGTATCAGAAGATTTTTGTTTGCAAATGAAAACTTACATGAAAGCTTATGGGAAGTGAATGGTGCTCCCCCCTCCCCTTCTCCACCCCCCCCCCCCCCCCCAACACTAACTCTCCAAGGAGAGCGGTTTGAAAATCTCTGTGATTTCCCCAGGCTCAGAGACATTTGAACTGTGTCTCACAGCCCACATGGCCTCTGGGTTTGAGGAAGGCAGAGCTGGGCTCTGTGGTAGCGTTTCCCCGAGCTTTCTGGACGCATCCCTGCTGGAATTTCCAGGCATTCTAATGATCAGTGTCCCATGGAAAATGAGGCTCGAGAAAAGATTCATTTTTTGCTGATGCTGTGGACTGTAAAGTTGAGCTGGAAAGAGCAGGAATGTTAATTCCAGAGACTGGATGGGAGAGATCTCTTCCTCCTTCCCCAGCACACTGCCATAAATTCAACATCAGAATTTCTGAAGCAGCTTATCCTGATCTGCCAGTAGAATTCAAGTGTGTGTGCAGCATAAATACGTACAGAACATTGTGTTTCATTGTATACATTTCTATCTGTGTGAGTATGTGCACCAAATATGTGATTTAAATGTGTGACTGAAAGGACAATGCTGAACCACTTTTGAATTTCTGAGAGTAAAGGAATAGGGCAATCATCAGAAGCCTCGATAAAAAACATTGTCTCAGTTTGAAAAAGAAAGAAGAGGGCAAAAGGAGGTTCTGTGAGGTTAACACTGATCCTGTGCAAGATACCAGAAGAGTATTTAAAACTTGGTTTGCGAGCCTTTGGATGAGGAAATAGGAAGCAGCCTGGTTTTCCTAAGAATGAGTCATGGAGAACTAATGTCATTTCCTTTTTGATGAGGGGATGAGAAAGGAAGGGAGAGAGCCTTTGCAGAGAGACTTGGTTCTGGGCAGATCACAGGAATTCTGGTGGGCATCCCATGTCTAAGTTTCAGCACAGCCTTTGACAAAGCCCCTTATTTCCTGATGAATAAAATGGAGACACGGGGCTGAGAGAGAGTCTAATTGTGTGGCATTAGGGTGGCTTCGGTGACTGACAGGCCTGGCTCTTAAGGGAGGTCTTTGGTGCTGTGCCTTGGGGCTCACATGTTCTTCATCATTATTCATGTTGATGTGTGGCTTAGCTTGGGGTCCCCAAGAAAGCAGAACCCTAGGCAAGGGCTGGCGTGCAGGTAATTTATTTTGGGCACTGACCCAGGAAACAGGAAAGGGGGCTGGGAAGAGAGAAACAGGGAAGGAGGGAAAGCCAACATGAGCCTGTGTTATCAAGCTGGTTACTACCGTGGCCACCCGAGGCTCAGTCCCACGGGGACCCTCTGAGGAGCCTTGCAGACTGTGCCTCAGAAGGGACAGACGCGGTGGGCATTTATCCACTGGCCCCCCCCACCCCTGCATGGTCAAGGGTTGCTCAGAGCGCTGTCCCTGCACCTCAGGTTTGCGCATGTGCAAGTGCCGAGCCTTCCACAGTGTCCCACGCTGTGGTGTCAGAGAAGCTTCACGGCAGACAGCTGGAGAGAAGTGGTACGACTGAGGCAGGGTGCAGTCGGGTTACACCCGCCTGGAGCTGGTGGCCGCGGCAAGGGCTACAGTGTGAGCCGGGCTGAGAAGGTGCAGTTACCAAGTCTGTGGATGAACCTAGAGAGGGAGGAGAGCTGAGGGCTTGATGACAGAATCATGATCCAAAATATTTGAATATGACAAGATGACCATTAAACCACTAAAAGCATAGCCCCCACATTTGCATCCCCTAGACCTCAGTTAGAGGAGGTGTGGTTCAGCAGTAGCATGCTTGAAAAGGACCTCTGGCTTCTAGCGGATTACAGCTTAGTATGAATAATGTCATAATGTGGTTGCCCCCAAAGCCACTAAACCTTTAATAAACGTTATATATATAATACAGTATATAATATTGTATTCAGAACAGGCCTTCTCTGCCAGCCACACTGCCCCTTGAGTTTGGGGTGCAGTTCAGGGTACACACTTTAAGGGAGATGGACAAGTCAGGATATAGCCAGAGGAACGAGGATAGTGGGGCACTTGAGAACCGGGGGGAATGTTTAGGCTGGAGGAAAAGATGAGCAGAGAACATGACAACTGTCATTGGTTCCTTGAAAGGTCAGCTTGGAATTGAGGAGTTCAATTCTGTATCTGTGTAGGGGGCAGTATGTGGAAGCCACAGTTCATTTAGCTGAAAGTAAAGAAAAACTTGATCATAATTAGCACTCCCAGGCCGTGGGATAAACTGCTCTGGAGGCAGTGGCTTATGTCTCACCAGAGGTGGACACGCTGTTAGCATTGTGTAGGGCACAGAATTATACTTCTAAATAAAACTGGCTCCTATTTATTGAGTGGCTGCTCTGTGCCGGGCATCTTATGGAATTCTTTGCATACGTTACCTCATTTTTTCATCCCCACAGCCCCGTGAGATGAGGTAAGAACTGTCATTATCCCATTCGTCAGGGAGGGAACAAGCAGTCTGACTTCAGAACCGCTCTCCATGCCTCTCCACTGGAAGGATCAGGAAGTGTTTCTTTAGAAAAGAAGCTGTCACCTCTTGGATGACTTCCAAAGTCTTTTCTAGCCTTAAGATTCTATGACTTCTGTGAATCAGGAATAACGATAAGAAAACGAAACTGTTGGGAGCAGAGGAGAAAGAGAGAGAGACAATATGAGTGAATGAATGAAAGAGTGAATAAGGGTGATCTGAAAAGTCTTCTTCACATTCTTTCCAGTGTATTCCTCCTGTACTTCTTAGTCTGTTTGGGCCGCAGATTTGTGGCTTTTTGTTTAAGAAATACTCCTATGGAGTGCTTTTCCGTTCTTTTTTGAAGTAGGCGGTGAGGTGAGGCTAGGTCACCATGATGAGCCGTTTAAGATATAATGAACTGAGTTGAATCTTGTTTCTTTTGGGTGACCCAACAGCAGTGATAAGCCCTGAGTGTGTCAGTCATTTATTAGCAAAGACTCATAATTGTAGCCTATATCTCCGAATCTTTTTCCTTCTCTCCACGTAGTTCTCAAAGTGACCAGAGTATAGTCTGTTTGGTAATAGCTACATTTTCTTTCCTTCTTTTTTTTTTTTTAGCACTGTCTACGTGTCAGGTGCTATGCAGATAGCTACACATACACACAATCACTGTCTCCAGTAATTGAATAATGAATGATACAAAGATGCGGAACTAATAGTTGTGAAAATTAAATGCAATGTATTACAATAATTAGATAATATGCTTATTATTACCCAGAGTCTAGCACACAGTGAGTGCTTAGTAACTGGTTTCTAAATTACATAAATCCCACAAAGTAGATAGTTATCTCCATTTTACAGATGAAGAAACTTAGGTTGAGAGTAGTTGGAAATGTGCTAAGTTCACAAAAGTGTTTGTGATCCAAAAGCCCGTGTTGAATCCTCGCCACCATGAATGCTCAGATCTCTTCCAGTTCTTAGGTAAATAAAAATGTTAGTGTTTAAAAGAAAAGTATTTAAGGATATTTAATGGTAGTTTTAATATGCTTCACTCTCACATTTTATAAATTTGATCTTGGAAGAATTCTTTTCAGCTTGTCCATTTTAATGTCCCTCTTATCTATCACAGTTTAATCCTATGTAGCTTGATATGGCTTGGCTTCTTTTTTCCACTGGCATTTTGTTTTTAATTAAGTAGAAGGCATTGATTCAAACATTTCACTTCCTATGAGGAAGACTCATGGAACGGAGGCTTCTGCCGCCTCTGCAAGAATGGGCAGGACTTGGGGAGGGAAACAGGCTCTGCAAGTGGCAGAGAGGCAAGAATGAGGGTGTGTTATCTAGTAGCTCACGACGTCCTTGACTTCCACAAACTAGCAGTCGATGAGCTGAGTCAGGATCTCCTTAGGATTTGGAATTGGGCAAAGCACCAACTGGAGGGCTGTAAATTAAAACAAGCTCTCTCATTGTTTGTGATCGGGGGAAAATTTCTGAAGATTAGTTTAGGAAAACATATATTATAGTTGGTGTAAGAGTGAATTCTACTTATTTCATTTTCTAGCAACATAAAATTAAGGAGGTGGAAAAGACCTTATCTACTCCCAGCCCCTCTGCTGAAGATTCGAGAAGACCGAGGATGGCTAAGGGGACCTGCTAGTAGGAGAAGGCTGGTGTTAACACCCAGTGGCTTCCCGACCATCTGTGACCTAGATCTTGGTATCTCACAAGTTTTCCACAGCTGCCACAGTCACCACATTGAATGGCTATCTGTGCTAGGCATGGGAGATGCTCTATTTACCTGAATGTCGAAGACAGCGTTCATCAGGATGGTCTCCATGTAGTTATTTCCAGACCCCCAGACCCCCTTTTTTGTTTCTTTACTCACAATAAAGCACAGATTTGTTTATTGGAAGATGATTAGCACTCCTGTTTTGAAATCGCAGTATAGTGTAGGAAGGTTTGGCTTTATTTTAGCATGTTTTAATCACAGTTCCAGTAATGTCCTCTTGGTTTATGCAGAATCTGACTCAGCCACTCTGGAGTTACCCTAACTCCCAGCAGAGAACTGGGAGTCGTTCCTGACTGCCCCACTGCCTTTGGGAGGGAGTCCATTGGTTGGCAGTTGGTTGGTGAAGCATTTCCCTACTCATGCTCATTTGCATGGTGGTGTGATGGACCAATTGCAGCTCCTCCTCAGAGTGCCCTGAAGGGACCGTCACCGGGCCAAGGCATTGTCACAGGGCACCAGTTACAGGGCATTGTCATTGTTTGCCTTCCAGATGAGCCTGTGTCTCAGTCGCTTTTGTTCTCCAACACCTAATATTGTGCCTGGCACATAGGTGGTCTCAGTATGTTTTCGTTGAAAGAATGAATGAATGAATACAAAGAAATTTAACTCCATAGCCCTAGTCCACAAGAGGTTTACATCTTGGTTCTGAGAAAAACCTAAGTGATAATAGTTTTATAATAAAACAGAACATGATGATAATCCTAGTGCTGTTACCAAGAGGTGTGATAAAGCCAGATGAGAGAAATAGATGCTGTTACTTTTCAGTCCCTTAGAGAAGACCTGGGTTGGGGTCTTGGCATCATCACTTAGAAGCGTGTCACCTTGTAAAAGCTATTTAAATTCTCTGAGCCTCAGTTTCCTCATCTGTGAAATGGAGTTACCCCCACAAAAATCCCAGGGCTATTACCAGGTTTCTACTCCAAAGACCTAATTATTGAAACCGCTAACACGTGGTATACAGCACCAGATGAAGTGGGATTATATGTGCGAAAAGTACTTTCTAAGCTGCATCATATTATATAAATATGGGGTGACATTATTCTCAAATGTCCAACTGAAACAATGGGATGAAGAATTCAGGAATGTGTGTGTTTAAAAGGTCTGGGAAAAGATAACCATAAGTCCTTTTTCAGAGCTTTGGCTCGTTAGCAAGAGCTGAAATAAGCACGTGGTTTTCTTGATGAGTGCCAACTACCTCTGGGCCTGAACCAAGGCCTGGCTCTGGTGACTCAGTCCGGACTTGCGGCTGTGTGGCCCAGAGTCCCCGGCAGCCTGGCCTGGCCATAACCTGTCAAAGTTCAGCTTGTGTCCACTTTCGTCCTTTTACGTGATTTTTTTTAATAAGTTTTATTTTACTTTATTTTACTTTTTTGTGAGGAAGATCAGCCCTGAGCTAACATCCATGCCAATCCTCCTCTTTTTGCTGAGGAAGACTGGCCCTGGGCTAACATCTGTGCCTATCTTCCTATACTTTTTATGGGACACGGCCACAGCATGGCCTGACAAGCGGTGCATTGGTGTGTGCCATTGGTGTGTGCCCAGGATCCGAACCTGGGCCACCAGCAGCGGAGCGCGCGCACTTAACTGCTACACCACGGGGCCGGCCCAACTTTTGTCCTTTTAATTGATTAGATCGTTGAGTGCACTCTCTTCCAGTATGAAGGATTCAGATGTCAGTGCTAAAGAATTTCTTTTGGGAAGGTTGTGTAAAATGCTGTGCTGTGACCATTGTACCCCTGCCTGCCCATACTCTAGTATGATGAGTAGAATGCCATCTACTAGTATGGCATTCTAGTAGAATGCCATGGGGATTCTAGACATAAATTGGCAGATCTGGATTCTTAAAAAATTTGTGACAATTAAGGTTTTTTTTTCAGTTTTATTATTAAAGGGTAACTTCATAAAAGTTATTATCTAACTTAAAACCGTTCAGTGGGCAACCTTTGAGTATTTTTGTATACCTCAGCTAAACAAGAAAGTAATTATGCTTTGCTTTTTATTCTTTAATATTATTTCCACCTTTATCTTTCATTCAACAAGTGTTAGTTGGGAAATGAGAACAGTTTCTTGTCATTGTTCTTGTTTGTTTTTTTTAGAGAAAACTTCCCTATTCTCACATTTTCTTTTTGTGGCAGAATGAGCTGTAATGGCAGATTTTTCGGATTACTATGGTATTTGCAGATGATCTGAGTATAGTTAAAATATTGAAATTGTGAGCTGTAAGGTCAAACTTGGCCTTGTGTGTGATTCTGCTGTCAAGGTGCTGGTGGGTTACATGGAAATAATTGTGGTGCATATGTGTTTAGTTTGCAGTATTTTAGATAGAAATAGTTTGGACAAGAATTGCTGCTGCTGCTGGTTTTCTTTAAGACTCTCCCCCTTCTCACTGAGAGAGAGAAAGCTTCCCAGAGTTCAAGTAGGAAATGCGTGGCTATTTTGTTGAACTCTGCAAGAGTTAAAATGGCGACGTGTTCATCAGCTGTTGTTCAGCCCTTGGGTAGAGCAGGTGTGTGTGAAGACAAGTAAGAAGGTGCCTTGCTATCCCCCGGGCTCCCATACTCCCTCTGCACGCTACCAGCTCAGTACCTAGCACACTGGATTGCAATTACCGTGTTAGCTGAGGAACAGTTCCAGAATAAAGGGAACGAGGGAGAGATGACAACGAAGTGCAGCATGGAGTTCTGGATTGTATCCGGGATTGGGAGGAAAACATTGCCGTAAGGGACAGTATCGGGACAGCTGGTGAAATTTAAAGGTGGACTATATCCGTTATAGGGGATGGTATTATTTCAATTTTAAATTTCCTAATATTATAATTATGCCTTGGTCACATCAGAAAATGCCTTTATTATTAGGACATGCATGCTGAAGTCTTTAAGGATAAAGGGACATGATGTCTGCAGCTTACTCTCAAATGGTTATATGTCAGGTGACAAGATTGAGAATTGGTGAATCTTGGTGAAATGTGTATGAGAGCAGATTTTTTAAAATAAAAAGTTCCAAGTGTGTACCTTTTTAACTCTCGATATCCTGCACTGGAATGTTGGCCCCAGGAGAGAGGGCTGTGTTTATCACCCTTGTGTAGGTTGCCAGATAAAATGCAGGACTATCCTGTTAACTGTGAATTGCAGATACACCATGAATAATGGGGCATACTAATATCACTTATACTAAAAAAACTATTTGTGGTGTATCTGCAATTCACAGTTAACCGGGGGTCCTGTATTTTTTTTTGCTGATTCTGGCTCCCCTGCTCAGACCCGGCAGTGCCCCCAGTAGCAGCAGAGTGAGAGGCGTCTAGGAGGTGCCCCTCTGATGTGGGGAATGAAGGACATGGCTTTTCAGAACTCTGTTCTGTAGCATCCTATTAGACACAACCCTTCACATCTGAGCCTGGAGCTGGGATTTTAGCTGTTTTTGGACGTGATCTCCTTGTCCTTTTCCTTTTGGTTGATCTTTCTCTTTGAGCTGATTTGAGCTTTCTCCAATTCTCTGTAGATGGTGGAGTCAGCTGGGTTCCATTTTATACTGTTACCCGCATCCTGACACTCCTGACAGTTTTAAGATCTTCTTCTAACACACTAGAGTGGAATGGATACTGGAATCTACCTTGACAGCTGTTGAAAATCTAGGCTGTTGCTACAGCAAGTTAAAGAGGTTATTTGTAACACTGGTATTATTCAGTGAACCTTTTGAAAAGATGTTCACACTGTTCAGGCTCATGGTATTTTATAGAGTTTAAATGATTTTGGTGTTCACAAACTATGAATAAAATACATTTATTATAATAATAATACAATAATAATAATAATACATTAATTATTAAATGTAATGCTCTTAGGAATATTACACTTAGTATATTTTTCATTAATTTTCTCCACCAATGTAGTGATAGTACGTCAGAACGTCCTCAATTACCACTGCCTTTTAAAATGCAGGTGTGGGGTCTTTAAATACAGCTAGTCTCTTGTCAGCTGTCCCATTGATAACCTTTACTTTAAAAGTGACCTTTGAGCAATTTCATAAAGAATGAATATTTATAGTACTTTGTTGTTGAGCTGCTAAAAGAGGGGTCTATGCAAGTAACAGGTGGCTTTAGTTGGCCTGCTTTCACTAAAATTTGATTCAGATAAAGCACTGCATTATTTTACCATTGGAATTGTGATTATGGGCTAGACTGACTTCATTTTTGGCAAATTGTATTTCACTGTTGAGGTTTGGGTTTAGGGTAGGGTGCAGGAATTGGAGAGCTTACAGATAAGGTGTAGCAGCTGAGGGATAAAACAACCAGGGTCTTCTTTATGCAGCAGAGGAATTTCTACCAGAGAAGCTGTTGTTCTGCTGAGCTGTAGGTTTAGGGGCAACTGTTCAGATTAACCCTTTAGACTTGAATTTTCTTTTATCTCAAGTCCAAAGCATTGAAGTGGGCTCTGTCAAATTAATGATCAGTACAGTGCTTAGCACATAGTAGGCACATAAAATAAAATTTGTTCAATGGAATGAACTAGATAATTATGTTCAGGTTATTATTTAACTTTTAATATGATTTAATGACTTGAAATAGAAGATCTTTCAGTTACTGCCCTTTACCCAATTGCTTGACAACACAATTGTTAACATGTTTTCTGATTAAAATAAATGCTGCAATCCAAGTTTACACTCGATAAGATTATAATATAAAGAAGTAGAAGCATTAAATAGATGAAATGTAATTTGACACAAAAGCTATTTCTGAGAAGTCTATTTTATTAAGTATATTTTCTCCTGTGTCTGAAAAGATTTATCAAATCGTGCAAATCAGGTCCCAGCAAATTAGGTAGAAGAGGTTTTAAAAAGACAATATTCTTATAAGAAGAATTACATATCTACTGTAGAAAAATGGAAAAAAGAGAAAATCACATAAATAACACCTATAATCCTATTTCTCACTTTATTGAATGTATTTAGAGTTTTCTTTCCTAACATAAATACACAAATAAATTTTTTTACACAAATACACGAACTTAGGACTGTGTGAACATATTCCACAGTGGTACTTATGTGTTTTTCTGCTATTCTGTGAAAAAATATATTTAAATTGCCTTTTTAAACTTTTATGTCATTAATATTTTACTGTATCACCATGAAGTCTTTTACAACAAGATTTTTAATGACTGTATAGCGTTTCATGGTATGGCTGTGCCATAATTTATTAAACCAAATTCTTATACTTGGTCATTTAGGTTATTTCCAGTTTTTTGCAATGCTGTGATAAACATCCTTTAAAACATGGTTATTACTTTGGGATCTGTTCCTGTAAGTGCAATTTCTAGGCCACATATCCTTAAAATTTTGTATATAGTATATTAACCATATTGTCATTCTGAAAGGTTGGGCCAATGAATGTTCCTGTGAAGCTTTAAGTATTTACTTCTTTACACTCTTTTCTACAATAATATTATTAAACACAAACAAAAGAGACCTTTGTTTGATGGGTTCTTATCACTTTCAGGTGCATTTCTTTGATGATACTTTTCCCCATATTTATGGTCCATTAGGGCATTTGTTTTTAATTACTAATTTATGAGCACTCTTTATCACATACATGGTTTTTTTCTTTCCATTTTTGTGTAGTGTGATTTGCCATCTGGGAGTTTTACATTTTGATGCAGTCTATTAGTAGGAAAAGGATTTTTGAGAGCAAGTGATATTTCTCTCTCTCTTTTTTTTTTAAAGGCCTACGTTTTTATTTTATTTTATTTTTTTCCTCCAAAGCCCCAGTCAATAGTTGCATATCATAGCTGCACATCCATCTAGTTGCTGTATGTGGGACGCGGCCTCAGCATGGGCGGAGAAGCGGTGCGTCGGTGCGCGCCCGGGATCCGAACCTGGGCCGCCAGCAGTGGAGCGCGCGCACTTAACCGCTAAGCCACGGGGCCGGCCCGAAAGTGATATTTCTATCAAAAGCTTTTTTTTCCCCGTGTGGTATCATTTAGTTTTCTAGAAGGAAGGAAGAGGTAACTGCTCAGTTTTAGTTTAATCCTCT